CTTCATTTTCTTCACATAAGATTGGAATTTCTCCTTTTCTTGCTATATATGGATTTAAGATGATAGTAATTAGTCTATCACTAGAGGTGTGTCGCAAAATGGAATGCCAAAAGTATCTAAAAAAAAATTTTTCGGGGGCGCTGCCCCCGAACCCCCGTGAGCCTCCCACCCCTTCAACTCTAGGACCCCCCTACTTCAACAAGCTGGCTCCGCCCCTGGTATTTATGATTGGCAAAATTCACTATCTGTTTCTTATAACCCAATTTCTCTCTCTCTCTCTCTCTCTCTCTCTCTCCCCCTCATGCCTCTTCAGTTGAGTAACAATTATCTAGCCCATTTGAGCACCTGTTTTGTGTGGAAATAGCCTCTGAGGCTTAGTTTAATATATCATTTGTTGTTATTTTATGATTTAATTAAGCCCATGTTTGGGCTCCATTAAAATGAGATTTGGGGGGAAAATTTGTTTTGGAGTAGCGACATTTTGGAGAATTATGGTTAAAAAAATAAGGAACAGTTTTGGGTTTAAGCGTAACATTTTTTTATGGGAGAATGTGTGGTTGGAAATGAGTTTTAGAAAATGCATTTTTGGAAAAATGGAGCCCAAACAGGGGCTAAATACCTGCAAGAGTAATTACAAATTTGCTGGCCTTCGTTATAAAGTTTATAAATATCATGGTGGAATGAAACTCGTGGTAGAAGACATTTTTAACCAGGTGTTCCTTACGTGCTAAATGATATTAAGTTGCATATTTGTCAGTTGGTTTATCCTCTAGGGTTTAGTGGAATATCACATCATGAAAATTTTCAGCTTGCTAGGCACAGTTGGAAAAACATTCCACTTTAGGTAATATGATCATAATGATCTTTGATGCTGTAGGTGAATGATTTACGAGAATTATATTTTGTACACCATTTTTTTAATAAAAATAACTAATATATGAAAAAGTTTCCAGATGATTAAAAAGGGTACTTATTCAAATTCCAAGAAATAGAACTCACAAAGAATATGTGTAGCAAGGTGTGGCCTTTGCCTGTTTGCACTAACATGCTCCTCTTACAAAGCTTAAGCATTGGAAAAATCCTCTGTGCTCGGGTTTTTATTTGTGTTATGTACTTTCTGTAAACATGAATTACCAATTAAAGCTTGTTTGGGAAATTTTTAGAAACAATTTAAATTATAGATAGAAAGAAATGGGTGGTGGATTGGTGGGTGATAATTGTCGGTCCTATGAAATGTGTGGATAAAAAGTGGTTGGACCATTTATAAACATTAGCATAGCATAAGCTTAATCAGTGTTATCAATCTGGGAAGGTATCTTAGCTCTCTTTTTCTAAGTAATCAGCATGTTATTATATTTCCTCTTTACGTACTTGCTTCCACATCATGCAATAAACCATGATGGAGTAGTTGCTTTGTGACATAGTTTAGAACAAAATAGAATTAAGGATGGTGGAAAAGTATAAACCAACATTGATACGAGGTGCTGTGGCATCCAAGGTTGCAGCTGTATTAAGATTTAAGTGAGATAACTTTTGATCTATCCTTGTTAAATGACATTTGCATTTGAGTTTCTTTCCTTTCTCTCCTGTTTTTCATTTATTATCTCCATTGAAGTCATTTCAACCAGTTCCTTCCCTTTGTAATTATGATGCAATGTGTGGTATTGTGTAATTCTACATTTACTCTAATGTCTCCCTTTTATTTGATTTATGATCTAATGCAGATTGATACCTTTGGTGTTTTCAGGTATCAACAGGAAGGCATAAACTGGCTAGCATTTTTAATTCGATTTAACCTTCATGGCATCTTATGTGATGATATGGGCCTAGGCAAAACCCTTCAATCTTTGGCAATCATGGCATCTGATACAGCAGAGCATATTGCTGCAAATAATTCTAATGATCTACCACCATCATTAATAGTGTGTCCATCAACACTTGTTGGACACTGGGTGTATGAGATAGAGGAGTTTATTGATTCTTCTCTTTTTACAACACTTCAATACATTGGTTCTGCTCAAGAGCGCTTGTCTCTTCAGCCACAATTTGACAAGCACAATGTTATTGTAACATCATATGATGTAGTCCGCAAAGATATTGATTTTCTCAGCCATCTTTTCTGGAACTACTGCATCTTGGACGAGGGACATCTAATAAAGAACTCAAAGTCCAAAGTTACAGTTGCAGTGAAACAACTGAAGGCTTAGCACCGTCTGATACTGAGCGGGACACCAATCCAGGTTCATTATCAATTTTGGTTTCAGTTGAAAAAAATAAGCTTGTATATTTTGCCTGACGAAACTTCTATATCTAATTGCAGAATAATGTGTTGGACCTGTGGTCTCTTTTCGACTTTCTCATGCCAGGATTTCTTGGAACAGAAAGACAAGTATAAAAAAAAAAAAAAAAAGGTACATAAATATATGCATGCAAAAAATCTGTAGAAGTTATTTTGCAAATATCTTTGTTAGACAAAGTGGAGCAATGTGTAAATTCTGGTTTACACGTTTGTACATGCATACATCTTCATATAATAATCAGTTGACTTCATTTTACAGTTTTGTTGTGAACGTTCAGTATTTGAATTTAAGAGAGTCAACTGTGTAAAAAATTTCTTATTATCTGATTGTCAGAAGTGATGAAAAGTGTTTCTATCTTCACTGCTAGAACACTTTTGAAGACAAAATTTAAATAAATGAATTTGTCCCCTCACTAACAACAAAAGTTCATGACTTCAAGTCCCGCTGCAACCCATTTGTACCTTTTGGAAAAAAAAAAAGAGAATTATGCACACGTGACTGGGCTTGTTGAATACAAAATGTAAAATAAATTAATTTGTTCCCTTTCTAATAAATAAACTTTTAGATGAGGTAGCTCAACAAACACTCTATGAAGTACTTGTTTCTTTCAAGCGTTAGATCAGGAATCTAATGACAAACCCATTGTTTCTTAAGCAGTTTCAAGCTACTTATGGAAAACCGCTGCTAGCTGCTAGGGATTCTAAATGTTCAGTTAAGGATGCTGAAGCAGGTGCACTAGCCATGGAAGCTCTGCACAAGCAGGTGTGTGATTCTAATTTCATTCTTTTATTTTTTAATCTATTGACATTTGGTTGTAGTTCTTTATCAGACAATGTCATTGGATTTTCCTCTGATAGGTTATGCCTTTCCTCTTACGCCGAACAAAAGATGAAGTTTTGTCTGATTTACCAGAGAAGATCATTCAGGATAGAAATTGTGACCTGAGTCCTGTACAGTTAAAGTTATATGAACAGTTTTNCCTGTACAGTTAAAGTTATATGAACAGTTTTCTGGTTCACATGTTAGACGAGAAATCTCAAGTATGGTTAAGGTAAATGAAGATAAAAGAGAGGGACCCAAAGCATCTTCTCATGTTTTCCAGGTAAGTTGGAAAGTAATTGTGAATTATGACCAAGCCAGCATATTTTATTGCCTGATGACTGTTCTCTATGTTTTAGGCACTTCAGTGCTTGTTAAAACTTTGTAGTCATCTATTGCTTGTCCTTGGTGAATCAATCCCGGAGTCACTCTTACCTCATCTGACAGAACTCTTTCCTGCTAGTTCCTGCATAGCTTCAGAACTCCATAAACTGCACCATTCTCCCAAAATTGTTGCCCTTCAGGAGATACTAGAAGAATGTGGAATAGGCATCAGGTGCTGAAGGACCCATTAGTGTTGGGCAGCATCCAGTTCTCATATTTGCACAGCATAAGGTAACTTGTGCTGCTGCTTTTTTTAATCGTTTCTTATTCTCTGTCAAGAGGGAATTCTATTCTGCTGCTATATGAAAGTTTTTAATCAGTACAGTATGCTTTGGTCTGACATGTAACTGTGTCAATTTATGCAGGCCCTTTTGGACATTATTGAAAGAGATTTGTTTCATACCCATATGAAAAGGTGAGTTTTCTTCGTCTATATGCTTTTCTTTATTTTATTGAGAAAAGGAAATAAATGTTGATCCCTCCTAGCAATGTCTTATTATAGTGTGACCACTTTCAAGCTGCATTTAGTTATGATATGATATATTTCATTGTTCTTCTTGTCATAAATAACCCAATTACCTTCACTATAACTATTGTTTTCATCTTTCCTAGCTAGGAAGTGATGATATTGGAGTCTGCTGTAATTGTTGTGGACTTTCTGCCCATGTAGAGGCTTCTCCATTTATTGTGTTTTTCATTTAATGATACGTGAATGTGCCTGCATTCAATCTTGTAAATTTTATTGCTAAGAAATATCTTGGAAGAGTCTTGTTTATTGACATCATGAATTGTTTTTCTGCTTTATTCGTATTTTGAAGCAGTGTTGCATATTTGCGGTTGGATGGATCAGTTCAAACAGAGAAGCGCTTTAAAATAGTGAAAACCTTCAACTCAGACCCCACTATTGATGGGGAAAATAATGAACCCTGCCTATATGTGTAGGGCATGTTGAAGACTCTTTAAATGATGTACATAAGGCCCTTCTAACAGCTTAAACTTTCTAATGTTTGAACAATGACTTCATTTACAGTTCTGCTTTATGGGCTTTTGGTGAATGTTTAAAAGTTACTGGAACTTAAATCTCATAATTCATAATTGCAGTTGGTGGGCTTGGTTTGAATCTGACATCAGCAGATACCCTGGTTTTTATGGAGCATGGCTGGAATCCCATGCGAGATCACCAGGTATGGACTTTGTTTTCATGGTTTGATCCGAATATATTTAGGAACTTTTACCAGTAAATGGTAGTCTTGTTTATTAACACACGGAAATTAGAATGTAATATTTTGTTTTCATCTGCCACTTCCGTCACAGATATTATGAATCAAAAATCAAAATTGCCGACTCTCAGTCATTATTCTAAACATCTTTCACTCCAAGAGTCATTTTTACTTGATCATTACATCTTTGATTGATTATAAAGAATACCTCAAGGGAGCCTTTGACTGTATGTTCTATGTAAGAGGCATTGTTCGAATGGGTAGAATCACTTCTTTCTGTGGCACATATACACTGATGTGATGAAATAATCTCAAGAGAGAGAAGTTGCAGTCTGAGATTCACTTTTTGAGGAAGGTATTTGCCCCTTGTTATTTCCATTCAATTAAATGACTTGTGTTTCTGACATACTTGCAGGCAATGGACAGGTAGGTCAGCGGAAAGTTGTCAATGTTCACCGTCTCATCATGAGGGGCACCTTGGAAGAAAAAGTGATGAGCCTCCAAAAGTTCAAAGTTTCGATTGCTAATGCCATCATCAATGCAGATAATGCAAGTATGAATACAATGAATACAGACCAGTAACTGGATCTATTTACTTCTGCAGACGGCAAAAAGGTATTTGCTCAGTTTACCTTCCATTTTTATTCGGTATTTTTACTTTTTACTTATATGTGACTTTGATCATATCATAGACTACTACAGATTATGAACTACTTCATTTAATCCCATTAATTTTAGACATTTCCAGTGAATAAACATTGTGTGTATATATATGCTCTTCAGGGAACAAGAAAATCAGTACGGTTGGATGAAAACTCTGAAGGCGATAAAAAATCACCGGGTGGTGGCAAGGGACTTAAGGCCATTCTTGGTGGACTAGAGGAACTTTGGGATCAATCACAGTACACTGAAGAATATAATCTGAGCCAGTTTTTAGCAAAGCTAAATGGCTGAATCAAGCTTTGGATATTATAAGCTCAAGAGAATTTTTTCAGAGAGTATGCAAATCAAGTGGAAGAGATTAACTGCAGTAAGCTGCCCACAATGTACAAAAGTATATATTCGTCACACCGCGTCTCCAATTTTGACGATTAGTATAGTTGTCATTTCCATTTATCTCTTCATTTCTCCTCTCCTCTTTACGAGCATTTTCATACATGCATTATATGCAGGAGGCGATTTGTAGTTGGTTGAGAGTGAGCATGACTGGGCAAGTGTATCCACATGTAGCTCAGGAAGGGGATATAACGTGTAAAGTTTTGAATATTGTATATACATTCAGATATTCATGAAGTTTCAAAGCTATTCATATTGCAAGACAACATTCCTTTTAAATTTTTGCTGTCTTTTCTTTGATAATTATATGAAATACTGAACTGATTTTTTGTTTCTTAGTTCCACATGGGATGTAATGAAAAGTTTGTTAATAGACAGAATCATATACATGTTGACCCAAAGAATCTGCAATCCTGGATGAGAACATTGTAAATAGAATATTTCTTTTCGAATATCGTCAAGCACTATACAATCTACTTTACCAACGGAGATTCTTGATAAAGAAAAGTAGAAACAACATTCTCAGAAAAAGTTATCGCAGCAAAGCCATCACAACACAGGTGAAACTGTGTTCCGTTCTCTCTTTTCTGATAGAAATTTGACTTTGGAAACTAAAGAAAATGATAAAAAGGTGAAAATTGAGAAAAGAAAAACGATAGTTAATTTACAACATCGATATTTCCTCTTTTAACATTAGAAATATTATTTAATATTGTGAGGACAGTTATATACGCTGATACACATTAGCCCAAGGGGTTTATTTAATATTATGTATTGGATTTTTTTATTTTTTTATACTTGTTAACTTGATCCTATCATAAAATTATGAGAGGGCAAATGAGTACAAAAGGTTCACTAATTAATTATTAACTTTAAATATTTTGTCCAATCTTGAAGCAAAATCTTGAGATCATGAATTTGATGGTCCAAACCAACAGCAATTTTCATGCATTGCGCATACTGAATTCAAGTCTTTGCTGGGCTGATAAAATCCTCCATAATAAGCTGTCCCCAAAAATTTTATTTTTAATCCAATTTCTTTAAATGAAGATATCATATTAGCTCATGTTTCGTGAAAATTAAAATTCGGATTTTAATCTAAGTCAAAGTCAACTATTAATTTTAACCACACATTTCATAGGATCCACAATTTTTCAACCACATGTTTAATTAATTTTTATCAAAATATACTAAAAATCTAATTCTAATCCTCACCAAATGGGGGGCTTAATTTTGCAATGTACATCTTGATTTCTTGGATAATTTTGTATTGATTCGTACAAAAAAATTGTAAATTGAATTGTCTCATTATTTGATTTTGCATAGTTGAAACCTCCATTGGGTGCATTATTTAGGTCCCAAGGGTTACCCAAAAGTTTGTCACATGCACCTTGGAAATCGTTGTCCAAATAAAAATGTGAAATGCAAGGGAACATTGGTCTCCTATTCTAGTACCATATTTTACATAGTACATGAACACTGGCATTTTGTTACGACTTTGTTTACAATTGGTGATTATTTGCTACTTTGTTGATCAATTCGTTTGTTTGCAAGGCTAGACATTTTAATCTACTTCGTCATGGATATGTTTAATGATTTATAAAGCGTCCTGAGATTTACGCTTCGCCTTACAAAGAAAAAATCCTTGATACCCAGTTCAACTTCTTGAACATTTTTATTACTGTTTTTTGCAGATAAAAGGACAGGATAAAGACGCTTAGTAGAAGGCAAGAAGCCAAAGGAGAATCCTCAATTAAATCCCTCATGAAAGATGAGTATTTGGGCACTATGGTTCTCTCTATTGAGTTTCTATAGTACTTCATTTTTAGTTGTTTAGCACATAGAAGGCATCAATTGATCTTTTAGAATGCAATAATTGAGAGATTAGGAGGGTATCATACTAGTGGTACTAAAAAGTCGATCGAGAGGCTCCGACCGGAGGAGAGTTCTGAAGTCAACTGAAGGTCATTTCAAAAATTGTGTCCTTGATGTCAAAAGTTTGTTACCTTCTGCTCCTAGATACTTCTAGGAAGCATTTTACTCAGAGGGGTCGTTTTCTTAACTTCAAATCAGCAGAAAGACTCGTTCTCCAAGTGAGCTAGTTGGGAGTGTGCCATCTTACCAACTAGTAGATGAACTACTAAAAGTGCTTTACGATGTGCCTAATTTTGCACCTCTTTCTGTATACTTGGGGCTCTCGAGATGTATAAGATGTGATAAAGTTTTACTATGGGCGTTTGACTCGCTACAAAGTTGTAAACACGGGCGAAATCTCTGAAGATAAAATGTAACATCTTTTGCCAAGCATTTTTTTTGACAAAACATAGATAGATTTTTGTTCTGTGACATACAAATTGTAGTGGTCACTTTTCTTTTTCCATACAAGGTTTCTACTTGTACACATGATAAATAAGATTTGAACACGAACCCGAAAAGGATGATTCAAAAATGCTTCTTTCATGCGAAATCTGATAGCAGCTAATCTCAGATCCACCGTCTGCGACGGCTTCCTGAGCTGTGGGCACCCTGAAACCACCGTTCCCAGCTAACCTCTGCCGGACCTCTGGTCCTGCAGAAAATTAACCCCTATAATCACATTTTACTTCATATTCATCCTACTCAAAAGTGTCGTCTACTCCATGAAACTGAAAAAATACGTCGAGAAGAATTCTTACACCGGAAGTAGGGCGTCTGGAACAGACTCTACGCTCGAGATCAGGCTGTTAGTATGCAAACAAAGAGAATAATCAGTGACTAAACTACATTGTATGCTTGTCATTTTCTCGACTTTATACGCTGTCAATTCAAAACAAACTAAGTCGAATTTAGGGTGTGTTTGATGGATATTATTAAGGAAAGAATGTATTTTAAATAATAATATGATGGGAAATATGTGGTTAAAAAGTAAGGAAAAATTATTGATGTGATGAAAAATATTATTTTATTAAAGAATATGCAGTTGAAAATGAGTTTTAAAAGAATGTATTTTGAAAGAATGTGCCCAAACATGGGCTTAATGCATTCATATAGTGTTAGTTTTGATCAACCTCTTATCTCTTCTTATCTTGTTCTACTAGAATCGATTCAGTATTACCAGATAAGATTTCAGTTAAAACCAAGCAACCCAATAACTTTTATTGCTATAAAAACAAGAATCAAGGGCTAAAAACTTCACAAAATTACTAATCATGAATTTAATGTTAGCTATAACCAATTTCTTGCAATTTTCATGAATATTGTGTAATTATTGATTATTTATTGAAAAAAAACCAATAAATCCCAAATCAGTAATACACCATATTATACAAAACCATTTGCAAAAAAAAAAAAAAAAATTGGCTATACATACTCTTCACATACAGTCGAGGATCTACCAAGAGTTTCCAGTTGATCCAGCTCCTCCTGCACAAATTCATGTCAAATTAGCGTGTGTGGGTTTGTGTGTGTGTGTGTCAGTGTGTGTGAAAGACAGAATAACAAAAATAAAATATGAAATTTGAGAAAATGACCTGAATTGATTGGATTTGCTGATTGAGAAAAGAAATTGCAGCAGACATTCTGTGTTTCCCTATAAGACCTGGAGTTGAATTTCCTGCAATCGGAGAGGACCTGGTCTCGTGCACATTATTATTCGATACTGGTCCTTCCAATGAAAGTGCCAAAGATGAAGATGAGGAGGAGGATGGGTCGTGTTGGTGTGGCGGCTCAGTCGCTTTGGGTGGCGCTGACTCCATGATCCACCCACAAGTAGATGCAGAAAAAGTAAAAATCAAAGGAGGGAGCGAGGAAGGGAGGATGAGGAGGAGGAGGAGCAGTAAAGTGATAAAATTTTATTAGAAAAAGGCCGCATGTGACTAAGCACACTTTCGACTTTGAAGTGTAAATTTCATTCTTTGTCCTCAATCTTTATGGTTTATGTCAATTTGACCCTCACTTAATTTTTAATCCTCCTCCCATTACCAATCTTTCTCCCATTGACGAATTCCATCCACTTTTGCCGTTAATGTCATGTAAAAAGATCGTTTTACTCTCTAACGTAAATAAACTATTTTTCCTACATAAATAAACTATTTTTCCTTTTCAGTTTATTTACGTTAGAGGGTATAACCGTTGTTTTAAGGAGAAAATTGATGAAAATCGTCAATAGAGAATATATGTGCGAATAAATGAAAATTTGGGATGGCAAATGAGAAAAATTGTCGTCCCCACACCCAATCAATATTATAAGAATTTGATCAGATTGGTTTAATAGAAAAAATTGAAAGCTCATTCAAAAGTAATCAAGTTACAAAGAGAAATGATATTCATCTCCACTGGGGATACATCTCCAATCTATGTGACGTTAATGTGGTATTAAATGATAGGTGAAATTAAATAAGTCATTTAATTTCACATGTCATTTAACCAATCATTTACATCCACATAGATTGGGGATACATCCCCACTGGGGATGAATAGCATTTTTCAGATACAAATATGTAAAAAAATTTAAAAAGTAATAGCAGTTAAAAAGAGCTCTATTAATTCACTTTTTAGAAAGAATAAATAAAATATACTCAGTTTTTTGGCCATTAATTCAATTGTTGATAGTTTATCTTTTGTGGAATATTGGGGATGGTTGATTCCCATTTTTGTCAAAATACATTTTTTTTCTCTTTTTTTTTCAATTACACATTCATTATTAAAATAATATTATATGCAAATTAAAAAAAAAATCTTCTTTTTAAATTATATATTCTCTATCAACCTACCATTTCAATATACATTTTTAAAAAATAATGGGGTTCAAACTAGGAATGTCAACGGAGTAATCCCCGCCCCGTTGGAGGAAGGGCCATGGGTTTCGGGTTGAACGAGTTTTTTTGTCATTCTTAGTTCAAACACCTCCATTGTTTGAAATGATATATTTTAAAAGAATGATTATACTTGTAGTGACCTATATTTCTATTTATTTATACATAAATACTAGCGTGTTAGGATCTCCTAACTTGACTAGTGAATCTCATAAGTTAGGATCTATTTACCCTTTCGATAGGTACTTCAAGTGTGAATCTCATAACTCGTGAAAGGAAGTGTTAGGGTTTATAAACACAAGTCAATTGTAAGTGTAAATTCTACTCAAAATAATTTTTACAATTGAAATTAGAACGGATAACTCGTCTTGAAAACCCTTATTGGGGACAGGATAATCTAGAAATGACTACTTCCTTAGAAGGTCGATTCATTGAAGTTACCCAACTGAGAAAAGTGGACCACTGTGAATGTTGATATCAAGCCTGAGGGTAATTCACATCTTTCGTGAATTGCCAGTCCGTTTTGTACTAAATTGGACCCTATTTTTTAAAGCTCATTTTTATCCCTAATTCATTTTCAATCAAGCATTTTATGAAGTCGATAATTTTAATCAACTTTTCAACCACATATTTGATCAATTTTCATCCAAATGTAATAAAAATCTAATTTATTCCAAACCAAACAAGGCAAAGTAAGCCCAAACCATAAGCCCAAAATAAAAGCCCAAACTACAAAATAAACTTGATTATTGGGCTTAACGATTTCCCCTTCTTCACAGTCATCGCCATCTATGGCTTCAGCAGCAGTAGCTTCTGCAAAATCGCTTATTAAAAAAAAGTTATTTCTCCACGCCAATTCCCCACCTAAATTCTCTCCCTTTTGCTTTTCCATTTCAACAACTACAGCCGCTCTCAAGAACAAGAATAAAGATGCCAAAATTCAAAAGAAGGAGCAGAAATGGAATAGCGAAGCAAATTTATTGGTGAAGAGACGAACGCGATCGGATAAGGAGCTGGACGAGGAGATTTTCTTGAAGCATTATGGAAATGGAGATTCTGTTCATGTCCCGGTCATGCTTGGTGAAGTTCTCGATGTGTTTGCTTCGGTGCGCCTTGAGTCTTTCGTGGATTGTACTCTCGGTGCAGGAGGCCATTCCTCTGCGGTCAGTAAATTAATGAATTGATTTAATTTTTCTTCAGTGTGTATTTTCGGCTACTAATTTGCTTATTGTTCGTATTTTTATTTTTTTTTTCATGATTTGATTAAGGAAATAATAGGAATAAATTTTCTTATTTGGAGTCAAAGATGCAAAACCATTAAATGCAATTTGGAATGCATATCAGCTGCTTTCTGTTTGATAAAATATAGAAAAGGGGCCGTAATATATCCTACTGAGTTTAGGACATAGCTTTTGTATGTATGGAACATTGAACTAGAAAATAAGTTTGTTGAAATTATTTGGATTTTAATATGTAGGACAATATTATCCCTTTTTAACTGTGTATATGGCTAATTAAAGGTTCATTGATACAAATACAGATAATTAAGGCCCATCCAGAGATGAAATTATATGTTGGACTAGATGTTGATCCTGTTGCACACGAGATGGCTCAATCTCGGTTAAAAGGGATCGTGCACAAAGATTCTTGTGACAGAACTTCAGACTTACAAGTGCATACTTTTTTGAAGAACTTTAAAAGTATTAAGTCTGTACTTCATGAGATTGATGGGGAAGTTTTGGCTGCTGGTGTTCATGGGATTATAATGGACTTGGGAATGTCATCCATGCAGGTTTGATGTGGAACATTATGTTATTGCTTTTAAAACTTCATCAGTTGATTTTACATTTCTTGACATTAATCGCTCATGCTTCTTTGCGTTAATATATGTTTATGCACGAGGTATTCTATGTTCTTGTTCATGGGTAGGTAATTTGAAAACACATTGAAATGTAGCCACTTACCACAAACTTCATTGCCACAGTTTTCTACGACAGTCTTATCCTGTCCTAGAAAGGGTTCTAAATGAGATTCTATGCTGTACTTGCTGTTGCTGCATGATGAACTTCCTTTCCACTACTATGATGTAGAAGAAACATCAGAAAATTCTCCTTCATATATCTGCTTAACAGTATGTTTATGCGTTCACTCGCTTGTGGATTGCAGGTAAACAATTATGAAAGAGGATTTAGTGTGCTCAATGATGGGCCTCTTGATATGCGAATGAATCCTGAGGTAACTGCAGCTACTCACTACTAAGGTCATATGTCATGAATAACTATTCTTTACTTTTAAGAGCACAGATACTTACCCCCCATTTTCTAAAACTCGTTTTTTTCTCAAACTCTTTTTCAACCACACATTTCGCGAGGCACAGAATTTTTATCAACTTTTATTAAAATCTACTAAAAAACTGATTTTTAGCTAAACCAAACAGTGTCTTAATGTTTTCCAGCAAGGCCATATGCTTTAGGGACATTATTGTGCAAAACTCAATATAAAATTTCCAACTGAAGTAGTTTTCATATTGGTAGACATAATGCACATAAAGAAAAAAGAGTATGTGGAAAACTAATTTATATTGGTAGACATAATGCACATAAAGAAAAAAGAGTGCGTGGAAAACTAATTTAGAAGAGTGCAGAAAGAACGTGCAATTTCCTAGATTTCTCCATATAATTCATGAACTAGGTACATTTTAAATTACTTATAATCATCCAATAGAAGATAATAATTGATTGCCCAGATTGAAGTAGGCCATTTTTTATTTTTAAGGGCCTCCATTACAAGTCAACTCTTCAATTTTTTGAACACAGCCATAGATTTGGCTTCTGGGCAGATAGTCCTAGTTTATCCATCATCTAATGTGATACTGGCAAACGATTTTTCTCCACATATTCGAACAGTAAATAATTGCTTTTCAAGTGTAGAGATATGCCACAATTTATGTGGATGCTTAAACTCATCCAACTTTTTGGTGGAAATTTCATTTGAGTTGTGAGCAACATCACGAATATGGTTTTAATTCAGTTTATATGTTTTGTTATGGGAAACTAAGAATAAGATTGATACCTCACGTCCGTGGATTAAAATAGCCGATAATCACAAGCCAATTTAGATTATCAGATCCTCTTTTTCCTTGAAACGAAATATAAAATATCTTTTCCATTACTTAATTGGAGGTTCTATGGCAGGCAAGTTTGAAAGCAGAAGACATTTTAAATTCGTGGCCAGATTCTGAAGTAGGACGGATTTTACGTGATTATGGAGAAGAAAGTAATTGGCACTCTCTTCAAAACAAAATTGCCAAGGCTCGTTTAACCGGTGGACTTCATTCTACTAGAGAACTAGTTGACCTAATTCGGAACTCAACTTCTTGGACAAGAGGTAGCTCTCCATAACTTCCATTTCTTTATGACATGGTAGAATGCTTCTGATCAGTTAATAGTGTCATACTTAATATTTAAACAGGAGGTAGACAAGGTTGGATTAAGACAGCAACAAGAGTTTTTCAAGCTTTGCGAATAGCAGTCAATGATGAACTCAACACACTTAAAGATTCCATTCGTGCCTCTTTTGATTCCCTTGCTTCCGGAGGAAGGCTTGCTGTCATCTCATTCCATAGTCTGGAAGACAGAATTGTAAAGCAAGCATTTCTGAATATCGTGAACTGCAGTGAAGGTGATTCTATAAAAACTGATACTTCCGACAGTGAAAAGGAAGCTTGGATTAAACAGATAGTACGAGGCCGGGATGCAACTATTTTGACGAAGAGACCCATAACACCATCCGAAAAAGAGGAGAAACTGAACACCCGAAGTCGGAGTGCTAAACTTAGGGTGATTCAGAAGATGTGAAGAAAAATCCCTGGAATAAAGCAGTTTTGGATGATGAAAACAAGATATATAAGCATTCAGGTACTCCCAAAATATCTGTTAACTGGAATTATTGTTCTTTCACCGTATTCATCGTTATCTTGGACCTAAATTCATAGTTAAGAGCCCATTTGATGTAGAATTTGTGAAAAGTGAACTATTAAATAATATATGGTTAAAAAGTACGAAATTATGGGTCTACGTACAAAAATACTTTATTTGGAGTGTGTAACTGAGCGCCCGTTTAGCTCCCCATTATTTCAAATTATAATGAGAGGAATAATAATTCTTTGGAGAATGTATGGTTAAAAATAAAAAAAGGAAAAGTTTTTTAATTTATGTGTAATATTATTTTATTGAAAAATGTGTGATTGATAAGAAGAAAGAAAAATAAATTATAATTTAACAAGAAATAATGGGGGCCAAACGGGGGCTGAATTGAGTTTGAGGAAAATTAAGTTTTAAAGCTATTAAAGCTAATTCTTTTTGCACCATACAGTTTCTCTTATATAAGATTTCATACAATATATACGTGTTGTGCCTCTAATATACGAAATTATAATCAATTTCTTTATTTTGAATTGCTTATTTTACTTAATATGTTATTTTCTTAATTATAATTACTAAAAGATTTTACTAAAGATTTTTTGCTAATTAAATGACTACAATAGTTGTGCTAAGTTTAAAATTATACTTATACCGTGTTACTCTCTCTCTCTCTCTCTGTTCTAGCTCATTACAACGTCCTGAAACTAATACATTTTAAAACATAATTCATACCAACACTCGTATTGAAACAAAACAACACGCTAACCTAGTCGGATATATTTAATCCATCCACTTCACCTAGATAAGATATAGTTCGCAATCAACACATCTGAAGACAAATTTGAACATAGGGGCTAGTGATTTTGATCAATGAACTCTCGAGCACTTTAGGTAGTAGCAGCTGGTACATACGACTTCTTTTCTGGGCAGTTATCACAAACAAACCCATCAAAGGACCTTGAGATGCTAATCCATCAAGCACTTTAGGTAGTAGCAGCTGGTATATACGACTTCTTTTCTGGGCAGTTATCACAAACCAACCCATCAAAGGACCTTGAGATGCTAATCCACACTAGTCGATACAATAAATTCTAAACAACTTGTAACAATAATGACAAGGCAACTGCATACATGTTTGCTTAGTTGTTCATTCCCTTCAAAAGTTAAAAGAAAGGTGCCGAAGAAAACTAACTAGAGAAAGCAGAACAGCCTCCACACCATAGCATTCATTACATAACAATTTTAAACCAAATTATACATATTAGACATTCCACAGTTGCAATGGAAAATACACACCCAATGTATTGCGCCATCAGCCCTGGAATCATGAACAGGTTATAACATCAGAGTTTGATACATGCCATCTCCTCTCTAAGTAAAGTTGGCAACAAAATTAGATAAACATATACACTAGCAAATGAAGTACAAAACATTCAAATTAATAGCTCATTATCAACAGGCAGTATTTCTACACTTTCAACTATTAGCATTCATGCAAAAATAAACTTATGTCCAATAATATCGCCATTAGGCAGACCTAGCGGTACTTCAAAGCTATGAGACACATTCGTACAGGCGCTTGAAACTAAAAATTGTTGGAAGAAATCAATTGAAAATTTTTATTCATCCGGAAATCCAAATTTTTATATAAAAAATAGGGACCAAAGGAATGAAGATACTCGAGTATTTTCCATTTGTCTGGAGTAACCAAAATATCGATAACAAACGTTGGCTGTAGGCAATTATTATCATTTGTCAGCTAGTCAACAGCATCAATCAAAGTAAAATGCCTTTTGGTAAAAAGGGCTTGCGTAATTAGGGTGATGCTATACGTACATAATGGGGTGTCCATAACGGTGTCAATCCCCTCACATGGAGGGGAACCCACTTCGAATAAAATATAATATATCCAAAGTGCGTCCCCCTCCATGTGAGGGAGTGGATATCGTTATGGACACGACATTATGTACAAATAGCATATTCCATGTAATTATATCATGTATGACACTTGGGTACCCAGCGAATCCTAACTTATAGATTAAGTACAAAAGGGGACCCCCTAGGAAAACAAGAAAAGTGTTACTGATTGAATATAACAAACATGCAATAAAAATTGAACATACCATCAGTTCTGCCAAATGCAAAACATCAGTTGTATTTACTCTCTGTATCTTGACTTCTTATCCTCATCACTTCCACTGTCATATCTTCTTCTGCCGGAACGCGCACCATCATATCTAGCTCTCTTGGAACTGTATTCCTTATCTCTCTCATCCCTTCTACTTCCTCGCTCCTCTTCTTGGTCTCTTCCTCGCCCTGCTCCCCGATGATGCTCCCGTTCCTTTTCACGCTTCCTGTATGACTCTTCCTCTTCCTCCCTTTCATGCTTTTTGCTGTGGTAGGTTTCTTCATCCCTCTTTTCTCTTCTACTTGATCCATGAACTTCGTAGTGCCGATCATCAATCCTATTTCCATGGCGCAATTCGTTCCGAGTCTTATTTATATCCCCGCGATCACCACCATCAATACCATGTCCACTAGATCTATCTAGCCTCGAGCCTCTGCTGTGATGCTCCTTATTCTTATAAGATTTACTCTCTCTCTCCAATTCAATCATAGCCCCATTGTGCTCAGCCTCTTTTTCGGGATCCTTCCTTCTTAACTTCCCCTCAGGTTGATCATATTTGTTCTCATCATCTATCTTCCTCTTGCCCCTCATTATCTCTTCACTTCCATCTCCTGACCTATCTCCCTTTGATTTATAAAGTTGCTCTAGATTCCTGAATGTGTCCAATCCATCAGCTTGATTCTTTGGTTTACCTCTATCATCAACTTCAAGTGCATGACCTTTCCCTCCACCTCGTACAACTCTGGCATCCAAATCATCACCGTGACGGCTACTTTTCTTCTCAGGAGACTTACTTTTAACACCCACATGCTTCAAATCTCTCATCCTTCTGTTTTCAAGGAAATCATCGCTCTTACGGTCATCAATGTCAGCTTGGGAATAATGCCTTCTACTTCTTTCGGTCTTGCTCTCTTGTCTGGCATGGCCAGCTTTGATTTCATCCCTGTAAGTATCACGTCGCCCATCACTATAATCAAGTTTCTCCTTTTTCCTTTTGGTTGTAAGCTCAGAGTCACTTTCAGAATCATACCTTCGACCAACTTTGCCTCTGCTCTCACTACTTATTCTCTTCTTAACGATGGGAAAAGGCTCATCTTCTTCTGGGCTGTAATTTTTCTGCTGATTTCTCCCTTGCTCGTATTGATTTCTCTCGTCTTCCTCCCCATCAGAATAAAATTTCTCAACATGACCAAGCTGCCTGCTCTTTGGGGTCTGCTTTCCTCTTTGAGTCTTATATTTGGGGCCTTCATCAGAACTATATTCATCATCAGAATCATGTCGCCTGCTCTTCGCAGGCTGCTTCGCCTTCTGATTCTGTTTATTAGTCCTGTCGTCTGAACTATATTCTTCATCAGAGTCATGTTCCCTGCTCCTCGAATGCCGTTTCAACTTTTGAGTCTTCTGTTTAGGGTTCTCATCAGAACTATATTCATCACCATAATCACGTTGCCTGCTTTTAGAAGGCAGCTTCGAACTTCGTGTTTTGCGTATGGGGCTTTCATCAGAACTGTACTCGTCATCAGAATCACGTCGCCTACGAGATTTCCTATAGTTATCATGGTTAGATTCTGATTCTGAATCGGTATCAGACTTGGACTGAGATTCAGAATCAGAAGAATCACTATCATATCTTCTATTTTTCTTATGTTTTCTCGATGATTTTTCCTTTCTTGTCTTAGCATCAACATCAGAATCATCATCTTGCCCCTTACTACCTTTCTCCTGTTTTTTCTTAGTTACCTTCATGTATTTCCCACTGCTATCAGAATCAGATGAATTCTTCCGTCCTCTTCTACTTTCGCCTTTCCTCTGGCGCTCTGATTCATATGTTTGAGAGATCTTATTCTTAACAACCTTCTGAATATCATCCTCCTCAACTTCCACATCTGTTTCATTCAGCTTAATATCAGCAGCAGCAGCATTCTTTTTACGGCCATTTCTCGGTTTATACTCATCATCACTTTCCTCAGAGTTTGGGGACTGAGGATCACGGAGCTTCTTTTTTTCGTCAACTTCAACTCCTATCCCAAGAGCAGCTTTTAGAGTTTCCATCTGCCGTTCCTTCAAAGCGGCAATCTGATGAGTCTGTGTCTTCGAAACCCTGATACGGACACACAAAATATTAGTTCAAAATGAATTAGCTACTTATAAAATTTGAAAGCTATAAAAGCACCAAGCTCAGCAAGCAATCAGTTTGTGCTAGTTACAAAGCACAGTGAAGCAACGAAGCATATCCAGAATCTGAATCCATGATAAATGATTGCATTTATCACCATCCAAATAAAATAGATTAGTAAATTTCAGTTGTGGAAACATTTTAGAATAGAAAATTTTTTTTTGCTCAATTGTTCCTGAAAAGGAAAAACCAAAAAGGACTAGGATAAGCAGTATGGCGCAACAAAAATTAATTCCTTGTACAATCCTACTACCATGAAATGTATGTTCGCTATAATAAATATTTTTGTAGCTAGGAAAAGCTGTGGCAACAGACTTGAGGAGCATATGTATGTCATTTGTACTCCACTATGTTTATCTTGCTTTGGCATCATTAATATATATTAAAGAATCCACTACTTATATTTGCAAGATAGCCACAATCTACAACACGTTACATACCGTAAATAGCTAGGACATCACTTTTTACATTTACAACAAGAAGCAACAAGCAAATCCTTGTTGCTAATGAACTTGGAGTTTGACTGTCCAAAAAATACAATCATATCACATGTTTTGCAACCACAGTAGACCATACCAAGATCATATCATTCTGGTGAATTACAGTTTTCGCACTTCAGTTTTTGTGCAC